AGAGGGTTCAGACGGGCGCACTATGCTGGCGCATGTCGCAAAACTGAGCCCGTCTTTGTTTCCTACCTTTGGAATGCCCCGTCTTCAGTTGCTGACATATGGACCTTGGATGAAATTAAACCATCGAACCAATCGTAAATCAGGACTTCAATTGAAAAGGTGACAGTTACGATCAAAATAAAACCTTTTTACGCAGATGCACCTGGCGATTCCGTACGTACCATGGAAACGTTGCCGATGAACGAAGCGAAGAGTTGCATGGAGTTTCAAGTTTGTTTTTCCCCTCTATTTATTCATTTATTTATTTACTCATAGTGATTTTTGCTCAAAACAGCTCGTACGGGTGGTAGTGATATATCGCTTAGCAGATTTAAAGGATGAAATCAAACCAGCTGTCGCTGCACATTACTGACTGTTCGTGAGGCTAAAGATCTGGGATCTACTACTTGGTAAGGAGGATAGTTAACTCTGAACAGTACATTGGGAGCTGACCATATGGCCGGGGTTTACTGCCTTTTCATTGGACAGTCCCAACCCTTCACCACATCCGGAGGTCGATCAATGAGAAGGCTGGAACCTATGTCTGCGACCGTATGCGACCAAATTACAATGTGCTTTGTGTGGGCCTAGCAGTTTCGTTCCCACCATATCTGATCACATTATCGAGTGAAGCACATGGCTAACTATAGTCTATAATATTTCGTCGATTCTATGAACTTTGCAACTGTAACTGCGCTATCCTGAAGGTTATGAACTCGGTAGATGAATGACAGTTTGCTTTGCGTGAATTCGAGCGAGCTATGCGATCAGATCAAAAAAAAGTACCTCCCTTTCAAAAAACGAGAAAGCGTCGGGTGCAGACCATACACCACAAGTGACGACGGCCTCCAAGTAAATCTGGTTAGTAGTGGTTCATAGTGATAGCTGATTTTTGGTAAATGATAGTTGTAATTAGTGACAACTGATAGAATACAACTGCAACAGGCTAATCATTTCATTGGCAGAAAACATTTACATTTTGTGGAGGCCGTCGTCACTTGTGGTGTATGGTCTGCACCCGACGCTCTTCTCGTTTTTTGAAAGGGAGTATACATGTATGCGTATTAGAACGGAAAGTGTATTTATATTAGACTTCTGATGAAGTACATGTTGCAGGTTCCTCCTTGGATCTTGAATGTCCATTCTTCACCGATTCTTCATTGCCACTTCGTTCGATGATGAATATTTGAGGAGTTTGGGAACGCAGAGAAACCACAAAGAACGCTGAGTTTAGGTCACATAGTGCATTAAGAACTAAACAACTTATGAACAAATGTTAAAGTAGCTTGAATCAAGGAAAATAAATCTTAGTTACACAGTGTATTCTACACAGAAAAATTGCGATTTCATGAGTGTGCTCCACATGGTTGTGGCTGCGCAGGGAACAACGAAAGTATCCACAGAAAAATGTCCGATTTCCCGGTGGATCAGAGTGTCATTATCGTCGCACACAGCCTCATTCAAAAAATGGAAATTTTCCGAGGAAATCAATCGTGTACTTCCACTCGGAAAGCTCAACGATTTTATATATGAATACATATTGACAAAATATCATAAAAATGGCTACTTGTAATGTGTGTTACCTTATGGGGGCGCTAACTCAGTATACGGAGGCATTCTTTAAGACTAAGCCTAGTAGAGGGCAGAAACTTGAAAATGAAATTTGCTTACGCACCCTGGAGCCTCTCCTCTTAAAGCTAAGGCTCAGTTTCTTTTTTAACTAGAGGGAGTCGTTTTACGAGGTTTTGAATGCATTGCAATAACGTCCCCTTATCTTGCGACAGCGCCTGTTGTGCCTCCCAAGGTTGATAGGTGAAGCATTTATTAAAAGGCCCAACGGCAAAATTTTGTTCCTTGGTCTCCATGTCATCCCTTGCTGGAATTTAGAAGCATCGATCAAATTGTTATTTCTCTGGTATCAAGCCAAGCTCATTTGAGACCTTTATTGAAGTCTGATCTTTCGATCTTTTCGGCTTGAAAGGCTTGAAGGTAGCTCGAAGCTTTTGGAAGCTACTCGACCACGTATCTCTCCCCCTCCCTATGCTCTTTCCAACATTGGTTGGGAACCAACTCGAAATCATCCAGTACAATGAAGAACTCACCAAAAGCTCCACTGGTGCTGCAGAGCATGAGCTCAAAAAATAGGCCTCACTAAAGCCTCATGTTGTCCCATATGTCGGAGAGTTTCGTAAAGCACGCAGCCCAATTTATAAGTCACACTCTGATACAAAAAGGCTTAGAAAAGTCACTGGTACCCGACAAGCAATTATTTCGGCAATTTATTCGTGGTTTTCTTGCTTTACTAAGGACTGCCCTTCTTTGAATCGATCCCTCTCATCAGAGTGTACAAACGCTTGTTGCAACCATCCGTTCGACAGCAAGATCCTTTCTGAAGCATGAGTTTTTTTGAGCAGATCAAGCTCGTCACAGATATGAGGAAACTTCAACGGCCCTAAAGTGAATAGGAAAGCTCACCTGACAATTGCTAGACGATCCACAGCCGGTTTCAAATAACTTTATGCTATCCACACCAGCGTACTGTTGAATTGTCGTTCGTTTCCTGCAATGCTTTACGCTCTAGGTGTCAGGGCACTATTTAAGCAATGCTACCAAATCTATAAGTTTTATTATTCGCCTAAGCAGTGATTGTTCAGTCCCTTGATCGCATATGTGACGCTCAGGTTCGGTGCAAGTTTACTGTCGTTTTTGCGCAGCAGAACACAATTGTATGCCTGCACCAAAATTGGATGTCATAACCGAACATATTAGCGCACTGGCCCCAGGGGCGAAATTCCAG